CAACCCTCTTTCAAAAGCCTGGCTTAATAGCAAAACCAAAACAAAGTAATACCCAGGCAAAGAAAGACTGAGGCTGCTGTTTCATTTAGTGCTTTTCTTAAGCTCTTAAATCACTGAAATTTAGACGTGCTTGAGAACACCAGATCAGATTGCTCCTTTCTGTTCTGTAAGATGCATGGTTTGGTGTAGTTTGGTTTTAAACAATCAAAGCATATTTAAATTTATATAGATGACTGACAGATAAGATACCCGTGCTCACCACCAACACAGCACAAAGATGTCCATGTCAGATACCCAGTGCTCAGCACGTGCCTTTGATTCCTTGTTGCTGTCCTCTGAAGGACAACTACTGTCATCCTTTTACTCCCGTAATTCTCAGCTGCCTTGGGCTGCATTCCAGTTCTAGTGGTACCTACAGCTGGTTACGGTTTAATGCTGTCATACTGTTTCTAAGGCATGGGAGAGGAGCTGGTTTTTTTTCTTCTATAAAATACAGAGTTGGAACAAACCGTGTAAACAGAAGGGGGGCAAAATCTTGCAGCTGGCACTGTATATGTAGCTCATATAATGTGAAACATCTATATTACCTCTCAGTACAGTCTTTAACAAATGCCTTATTTATTCCCTGGCAGAAACCCTGTTATGCCTACGCAAAAAGTATCCACAGTAGGTTCAGCTGCTGTGATGTTTTGGTGTATTTTTACCAAGCAAAATGGTCTTAATCCAGACCTGGCCTGAATAACCTGTCCATGGCCATACCATCAGACTAGGAGGGACCAAGGACTTGGACTCAAGGCTTCCAGTTACTAAGTTAGAGCCTTTGTCAGCAGCCAGGCTTTTTGTCTTAGGTAAACACTCTCTTTCTAAATCTGTGACTCCACAACCACACAATCAGGAGCTCTACTTACTAGCACTTAAAGGAATTTTTAATGACTATCAGAAACAGACACTGAATGATCATTTCTATTGGATAGGTTGTTAGTGGAGAATTGCCTTACTTTTTTCAAAGTAATGGTAGGCTTGTGCAATGTAAACTATACAGACATTGCCCATCATGAAAAGATGTGCTTAGCTGCTCAGTTGTTGGAAGAAAATAGGGAATTATTCAGACATGCGCCTCAGTTATTAGCAAGCGTTAATAACATGCCTGGCATGATACATCAGAAAGGGACAGGCCAGGGAATAAGCTTCTAATTATCTATGGAACAAGTCCAGCCCAGCATGCTGTCTGGTCCTGAAATCCCATGTTCCTGTTAGCTGTATAAACAGCAAGTTTTAAAAACAAACAAGGCAAAAAATCCTCCAAATTGTTGATGTAGTCTCTTGCAGCAGTGAATTCTAGTGGTACCTGATGCATATTATAAAAGGGCATTTACTTTCTTTAATCAATTATGATTGTACGTTGCATTTCAGTTAACCATCCTTTTATTATTGTTACAAGAGGATAAAGAAAAGTATCTTCATCTTCTCTACAATTATTATTTTTATTTCGTCTTACTCCTCGCCCTATACTAAGTTGTTTGAAGCTTTGTCATTCTTTTTGCATGGAAATTTTCCAGGTTTATGATTTGTGTTACCTGTTTTGAACTCATTCCTTGTTCTGCTGTGCTGAATAAACCCAGACACACTGTTCAACTCTGCAGAGAATGCAAAACACTTCTACTCCCTCCTTGTTACTTCTGCTTTAACGTAGTAATAGGTGCTCATCATAGCTCTTCCTGCATGATCACTGCATACAATTTTTTGAGATGGCAGTTCATTTCCCAATGAACTCCAGTCCGAGTGAACAGGGAATA